AACAGGTTGGTTAAGTTTGTTTAAAGCGGTCGAAAACTTCTTTTAAACTGGATACCTCTAAAATCGTATTTTATTTCTCTTGGATCTGATGAGTGCCATAAGGTTATCTGGAACCTTATTTCAGATCAGGAAAATGAACTCGCAAAGGATGATGAACCAACAATTTCAGAATTGTATTTATATTTCACGCACTTCTTCATGTCAATAATGCAAGACACCCTACTGAAGCTGGAAAGCAAGAAAATTCTTGCATGTGATCTTCACATTATCATGTGTAAGCTGCGTGATTCTTTGCAAAAAAAATATGATGAGCAGTTTTTTGGAATGAAAGTTTTATTTGCCTTACGTAAAAAACATTTGCCTGAGAATGCCGTGCAAAAGTTCAAGAAAGGAGTCATCAACGTGTATCAAAGAGCCATTGCGTACCTTGAAAAGTGGTATAATTTCACCGATTCAGTATATGAGACGCTAAGTTGTTTCAATCTAATTGATCGCAATAATCCTCCAACTTTAGAAGAAATTATGAACATCTGGTTATTATCACCATGGTGAGAAGAACTTCCACCCAATACTCTCTTCGATGAAATTTCTGCCTTAGAAGAAGTTTATGTTCATCTGCAGGGCGATTCATCCCTTGATAAGTGGACGTACTTTTTCAAGAAAGAGCCAGCTCCGAGTTTACTGAAACTGTTCCAGTATTGTGCATCAATTCCAGTATCAAATGCAAACGTTGAACGAATTTTCAGTGTCATGGGAAATTTGTGGACTGACGAACGTAACCAACTGCTTGTACCATCAGTTTGAAGTGAACTTTGTATATTTTTTAATATTTCTCAATGTTGTACTGAAATTAAAGAATTATTCCTTAAACACAAAGAATTGATCAAAGCTGCGCAGTCAAATAAAAAATACACACAACACAAAGTAAAATGTAATTTAATATTTTACATATTATTATAATATATTTGATGTTTTGAATTTTAAGTAAAGTTTTGAAGTGATTATTTTAATATGTGTTAAAATGTTTGTAAGAAAATATATAATTTAATTGTAAAAAAAAATTTTTTTACTACTTAACCCCACCCCACCCCCGCTTGTCCGCTATTTTTTGGAAGCAGACCTGGCAACCCTAGCTTCCATGTGTTTATTTTCCCTTCCATAATCTCACCACTTGGTAAAGATAAATTGCCTTACCTAAAAGAGACCAAAACAACAAATGCATAGAGTATGACTTTTTGGATCATACCCCTATTAGAGTAATACTAGAATATTATATGAGAGCTAGAATAGAAATACACTATTCACTCTATACACTATTCAACAAAGGATATTTTGAAGATAGGCACTGCTATTATTAGCCTGGCCTTCTGACAAATTGTCATAAACTATTACAAATGCTTTATGAATCACAAAGTGAACTTCAGAAGAAGGATAAAAGAATTTGGTGCAGTGTATGAATCCGTGATGAGTTTTCTACTCAGTAGCCAACTTCTTACACTTCAAAAGAAGACAAAACTAATTAATAGAAAATTTCCAATAACATTATAGATATGAACATTTTTAATAACTTGGCACTTTATAATCCTGTTGCTTAACTCTTCTCCCCATGCCCACGCCCACCCCCACCCTCAATTATTTTGCACTTACTATTGTGAAGAGAAAAAAAATAGAACTCCTTACATCACTTCATTGATCAATGTCCAAGAAGGATCTTCTGTGAAGGAAGGGCTGTTATGAAAGAAGAAGGCTTGAGGGACAATTGCCCCCAAAATAACATTTCCTGGCTGAGCAAATTGATGGACTATAGGAAGAGGGTCATCGGGTATGCTACAATTGATAGCATAAGTTTTGCATGTAATACAGAACAGGAACACAAGAAGCATCATTGCTATCAACTCCATCCCAGTGTTGATAATTTCCTAAAAAACATAGATGTCCCTGCACAGAAAAATATCCTATCTCTACCCTACTAAACTACAAGGTATCATTTTTATTACCTTACATATATGGCCTATATAACTATTGAGATGAAATAGAGATAAAACAGTTTGGAATATGAAATGAGGATTGGAATAGAAATGTTTAAAAAGATAGCTCTCTATATACTATTCAACAAATTATATTTTGAAAATAGGCAAAAGCACTCTCAGTAGGCTAACTTTCCAAAAATTGAGAGTAATATCATCAGTAATGCTAAAGAAGGAACCCGTAATTTTGACAATAATTGGGGAAACAATTAAATCTTCAATTCTCAATATTTTGCACATCTTTCCTGAGAAAAGAGCTATAAGTTTGTATTTAATGAGCAGTTTCCTTTGATACTTTCTATACCATAAAAATGCCATAGGCAATAAATACAATAAATTGATAGCAGTGATTAAAAGTATTGTACTTTTGGACTATAAGATGCATTTCCACCACCACCACCCAAAAATGGGTGAAAATTGTGTTGCTTCTTTCTATTCCAGGCAGCGGGAATCGGCGGCGATCACTGCTGCATGGAACCGGTTGAAAATGCAACACACAGAGGCCAAAAACAGGGTATGTAGAGGCCAAAAATGTGATGTGCAGAGGCTGAAAATGTGACATACAGAGGCGGCATCGGCAGCAATCAGCGATGAATGGTGGTGATCAGTGGTGGTGTGCGGAATCCCGGCAGCCTGGAACATGTTTAAAACGGATCATGCAGAGGCCAAAAATGTGACATGCAAAGGCTAAAAATGTGACACGCTGAGGCAGCAATGGGCTGTGGCAATCCCCGCAGCCTGGAATAGCTGATTAGCGGTATTCTGGGAAACTGATCCAACCGCCAATCAGCTACTCATGCTGAATCAGGCTGCGATAACGTGCTGAAGCTGACTAGGCTTTTTGCTGTTTGCTGCAATGATGAATGCCGATGGATGCTGGTAGGCAAAGGCAGAATTTTTTTTCTTAAGTTCCTCCCCAAAAACTAATCTGTGTCTTATATTCTGGAGCATCTTATACTCCGAAAAATATGGAATACTGGGTAAATCTAGTATACTAGATTCATTTTCATGCTACATTAATAACCCATCAGGATCAAATAAATCTTTTGGTAATTTGCCCTGGGTGATTTTAATATTCATATGAGAAGTTCTGTCAAATTGTGGGTGATCACTGTATTCCAATCCCCCATCAAACACCAACTTTCATAAGAAAACCTTTTAATTCTTTATAGATTATTTATAAAATACTATTTTTATCATCAGTTGGAGCATAAATTCCCAGTATCAAAGTCTTAATCCCATGTGAATTAATTTCCATTCCATCCAATCTGCCTTGCTCATCTATCAATACAATTCCTGCATTCATTTGGAAATTTAACTCCCTTTCTTTATCTTTCTTTCTTTTCTTTTCTTTTTTCTTTCTTTTTCTTTCCTTTGTTCCTGCAGAAATACATTCTTCACCCAAAATTTTATAAATCAAATATTTTGCATCTTTCTAATAAAATGTAATAGAATGTATAACTGCAGGAGTGTAGTGGGAGAGTTTGGGCAATGCACTGCTTTCCCAACATGCAGGGTTAAAAGCTCAGCATATTGGGTTATAGTTAGTTATGGGAGGGGGTGTCATGGCATGTTTAATCAGACACACTTTCAAAAGCTGGCCATCTATTTTTTTTTTTTAACTTGTATCAGAGTGCTCAAAGTTACTGTAGGGATGTTTCTAGCCTGTTGCTTGAACCACTAAATCAAATTGGATCTACATTTATTTTATGCTTTTATGAATTTGATTAAATTTAAAGTATAAATATTTAAGTACCTAGTACTATTATGTGCATTTGTGGAACTGCTATTATGGGTTATATATTTAGAGTCAGAGACTATGATGCTGTTTATTGGTATCATTTATTTATTAGATATGTATACTTTTATGTATACATATCTAATAAATTTTATGTTAAGGTTTGCATCTGCTTTTAGTTAAACTAAAACAAGAGATTATGTTATTATATAATTGTACCCATATCAAAGAGAGGTATATTGCTTTGGGTGAATTTTAAGCTTTTCTCATTGTCACCCCCTGCCTACTTTTTCCTATTTGTTGTAATTTTATATTTGAAATTTTTATATTTGAAATTTAATAAACCATTTAAAACTTACACACAGGTAATCATCATTCACATTAAACTGAATAGGACATTTCCATCCTTTCATGTTGAAATATATCCCCTTTTAAGGATTTATTTTCTCCAAATCAAAGATGCTAGAAAGATTATCACTCTCAACTTTTGCATGGATGGATAAACTCCATATACAAAATATACGTGAATTTTTTGATCCATTAAAAAAATTATATATCTTAATGCTATTGAAATCAAGTGTATGTATTCATTGACATAGGTCAACTGTAGTCTTCTAAGTATGAAAACATAACAAATGTTGTTTGGAGAGAGCAATGGTACAATTTTCAACAAACTCATGGGCTCAAAATCATCATCCACAGCCAAGAGATCAATCCATGTCCATCCAACTACTTGAATACCTCAGTGTATTAATAGACATTTGGAACCATCTGGTACAACAATGGTAAAATATTTTTGTTACCATATATTAGTGTAAATGTTCAATAAGCAAGCTGAAATAAAGTATACAGCACATAGCTGGAAAAATAAGAAAGAATATTAAGTATACTTTGTCTGTAAATTAAAAATAAATATTTTGCAAATAAATACAATTCAAAATTCCTGTAGTGAAAGTCTAATGTAAACCTAAATCAAGTCAAGACACTTTCAGTACCCAAGAATGCAACCTTCAAGATTCCTCTTTCTTTTGCTAAATTGGTTTTCTAACAGTTCCTAAACATCATACATACACACACAGGCACAGACACAGATCCACAGACACAGACACATACAGACACACAGATATTGTCAGGTATAAATGCCCTACCCGTGCCAAGGTTCAGCTATAGCTCAGTAGTGCAGGGGTTAACCCAGACATCCAACTGGTCAGCGCCTCCCATAGACCCCTCCTTACCTGAATCCCCGCCCACAGGTATAAAAGGTGGGCACACTCCTCCATGTTCTCCAGATCCTGATGTAACTAGTGATGATGTGCAGAACCTGTAAATAAAAGAGATATATTTAATCCGATGACTCAAGTCTCTTCATTGGGCCTGATCCATCAATCCTCGTAACAATATGGTAGCAGAGGATGGTTTGTAAGGCCCAGTGACACCAAACCACAAGACAAGGACCCATACCTACCTGCGGAATGGCGACACCTCCGAAGCAACGGGAAGGCAACCCATCGGACTCGCCAGGGAAGGTAGGAACCCTGACCGCCCCCAAAACCACCGCGATGGAAGGAAAGGGGGAGATCCAGAAAGAGAAAAGAACTCACCACAATGACCAAGAAGAAGAAAAGCTGCGACTCGACGTCCTGCAGCTGTTGAAAGAGCGAGCCGGCGACAAGAACCTCCTTGCCGACCTGCGGAGCTTCATAATCGACCGCGAGGTGGCAAGGAGAGAAGAAGACTCGGACTCCGAACTCGAGGAGCTGGACTCGGTGAGTGGATCGCCCAAAAGGGCACTCCCAACGGCCACCGAGCCCCGAAGCCCCGCTCAAGATTTGAAATGGTGGCCATCTTTGTCCATGTGGTCGGACAAGATGGCCGACCCCCAACCAATCGGCAGCCAGAATTCAAAATGGCCGGCACGCGAAAAATACCAGACCATGAGACATGATGAAAGTGACCGGGGAGAGGGGACAGAATCCGACTCCGACCCCTGGTACACCCCCAGTGAGCGGCAAGTAGATAGGGCCATGAAGACCCTTGCCGCCGCCTTCGGTCCAAGCCTCAAAATTACAAAAGAGAAACCAGAGAGGCCAAAACAGAAGGGAAGGCGAGGAGAGGGGCAACGAAGCACCCACCCGAGAGCCACCGACGCCCGTGTCAGCTCGCCAGCCCACCTACGCACCCCAGGGACGCCGCGCCTCCGATCGCCCAGGCCGCACACCCCGGACCGCATGGACTGGGGCAGCTACTTACAGCCATCGCTGGAGCTTCAGCGCTGCCAGGATCTTCATTCCGGAGAAGCAGCTGCTGGACGACGTCTTCCGGAGCACACCTGGACCCCCAAGACCGAAGCCGAGGCCTACCCGACCGATAGAGGCCTCTACACCGGAGCCGCGATGAACAGGTCCTTCCACGGCGACGGCGGAGCTGAAATGGACTTCGCGCATGCGCTCTTCCGCCTAGAAGAAGAAAAAAGAAAAAAATTACAAAGCGGGACTTTTAAACTACCGGCAAGCGTTCCCATGCCTTACTGCTGCTATAGGCACATAAGGAACCATGGACAGCAGCCAGCAGTAAGTAATTTTACAAATAGTGCTGGGAACTTACCAATAGACTTTCCCAAGTTGAGAATGGATGGGGGCAATATCCTAGAGTGGTCACAGCAGCTCCAGGTGGTGTTCCTAAAAGAAAACATGTCTCATTTTATTAATGACCCCCCAGAGAGGCCATGGACTTTAGAGCTGGATTGCATGCACCATAGGGCATTCTATCTTTTAATTGCCAGCATATCCCCCACAATTTACCACTGTATTGGCCATAACCTCACAGTATCAGAAATTATAGGGAAAATGTTTGGGTTATTCTACAGTGAGAGTGTGTCCACCACCACACAAATTTCCAAAGACTTCTTTTCCGCCAGACTTAAGCCAGGGACCCCCATGAGTGAGCACCTAGTGTCCTTAAGCGGTACCAGAGCAGAGCTACACCTTAGGGGAGAAGTTATTTCCGACCAGATCATGAAAAGCGTGATAATTAACTCTTTAGATCACTCATGGAATAACTTCTTAACACACTTAGACACCGTTAGTCTAGGAATGCTATCCATGGAGAAGCTATCCAACAAGCTAATCGTGGAAGATAATCTGAGAAGGAGCCGCCCCGGCCCTCCCAGAGAACATAAGAGTGAGAAGAGAGTAGCCATCCAAGAGAAACAGCACAACACGCCAGAGTGCTACATCTGTGGGTCGAGGGGACACATCAAAAGGGACTGCCCCAAGAACTATAGGGAGAGGGGCAGGCCAGAGCATAGGTACAGACAAACGGAAAGGCACACATCTGAAGAAAGGTATAGGCGCAGGGACTCACCCAATCCCAGGGACAGGAGAGGGAACAGAGATAGCTCGCGCGACAGCAGGACAGGATCCTTATACGGGATAGGGGAGCACACACACACCACACATCAAGACAAAGGCACCAGCTCATGGCTCCTAGACTCGGGAGCCTCCAACCACACCACCTACAATCAGAAACTACTCTCATCATTCAAGAGGGAGGACTTTTCGATCAAAGTTGCGGACCAAAAACAGGTTAGAGTGACGGGCAAGGGAACAGTTACATTGTCAGGCGTAGGGAAATTAGAGGGGGTACTGCTGGTCCCGGAGATACCCCACAGTAAAGCTTAGCAAGGAATCAGAGGTTGAGGTGACTTTTACAAAAGGTAATGTCAAAGTTAGCAAGGAAGGGGAAGATATAGGGAGAGTAACCATCAACCAAGGGTTACCTTATATAACTTTCTATGAGAATGACACCCACAGCGTGTACACCAGTTCAGAAAACACAGAGGACACTGACCAGGGCAGGACTGAGGGGGAACAGGTAGACGGGAGAGAGATAGATAGCGATAGTAACATGACGCAAGAAACACAACACAAAAGACACACCCAAAGGGGTCCCTCAATAGGCAAACCCATACATGACGACTGCGCTCACCTGCTACACCGGAAGCTAGGGCACGCCAGTTTTCCTGTGGTCCAGAAAATGGCCAATTGTACTGAGGGTATCAAAATAAAAAACTGTCAAAACTACCTCGATTGCTCGGTGTGCAAATGTTCTAAATTAAAGGTAAAACCCAGACCCAAGAAGTCGTTACGTGCCACCAAACAAATATTCGGCTTAGTCCACATGGACCTGGTAGGGCCCCTAAGGCCATCCGTAAATTATAAGAAAAGGTACTTCCTCACTATAGTGGATGACTATAGTCGATATGGCTTCGTCTATACCTTAAGAAAAAAGGATGAGGCCTTCCAAAAATTCAAGGAGTTTTACAAAAGAGTAGAAACCCAAAACAACACCCGGATCAAACAAATCATGACCGACAGAGGATCTGAGTTTCTATCTAAGGACTTCTCCCATTGGCTCAGGTCCAAAGGCGTGATTCACTTTACGTCGTCCCCGTTCTCCGCCTTTCAGAATGGGGTCGCAGAACAACGGAACTCCACGCTCCAAACAATGGTCAGGTGCGCCTTAGAGGACGCGGGCCTTGGCCAACACTTCTGGTCTGAAGCCCTGGTCTACTCCAACTACACACTTAACAGAACATGGTCCAGTGCGATAGACAAAACACCATACGAGCTCATGTATGGCAAGAAGCCTCAGATAGCACACTTACATGTATTCGGCGTAACTGCTGATGTACACATACCCAAGCAGTTGCGCAAGAAAGGGGATAAGGTATCCAGAAGACTGAGGTTTATGGGATACGAGCCGGGAACCAAGGGCTTCAGGTTTGTGGACAGCAATAATAGATTTGTGGTATCTAGAACAGCGGCATTCCATGAGCAAGCCAACTGGTCCAGAATACACTTAAATGAGGTACCCACCAAGCGAGAGGATAGTCCAATCGAGCAAGCTCAAAACAAAAGCGAGACAGTGGATAGACAGGAAGGGAGCAGGCCCAAGCCCAATCTCCAAGGCATCAAGGTTGAGGGATGGAAAGAGAATCATCCCAAGATAAGTGTCGACTCACTAACACAAAGAGAGGCCAGATACCTGCATGACACTGAGCAGACAGTAGTCAGACCGGTCAGGTCAACCAGAAACCAACTGCCAAGAAGGCTAAATGATTACGTGATGCACGTGCACACGAATCACGTTACGTCAAACTCCTACGAAGAGGTACTGAGACTCCCCCAGGGGGAGAGGGCAAAGTGGGAATTAGCCATGGCCAAAGAACTGGACAGTCTGAGGAAGCTAGAGGTCTACACCCACACCAAAGTCCCCGAGGGCAAAAACACAATAGGCACCCGATGGATCTTCAAGATCAAGAACTTAGAGGGTGGCCAAAGCCTATACAAAGCAAGATTAGTTGCCCAGGGGTTTGCTCAAAGGTTTCCGGAGGACTACACAGACACCTATTCGCCCACCATAAGAACAGAGAGCGTCAAAAGCGCCTTGGTCATCGCATCCCTGCTAGGGCTGGAGGTGCACCAGTTCGACGTGCAGACCGCCTACTTGCACGCCAAACTAGACAAAGAAATATACATCAGAGCGCCCCACAGCAAAGAAACCAACAGAGGGGACACCTGGTTACTTCACAAGAGCCTGTACGAGCTAAAGCAATCAGGCAAACGCTGGTACGAATGCCTGGTAGAGGCCCTAAAGTCTATGGGATCCACGGCGACCATAGCTGACAACTGCTTCTTCACCAGGAAAGAGGGGGACTCGCCAGAATACATCCTAGTTTACGTGGATGACATACTATATATCAACAAGCACGAAGGGAACCGCAACACCTTCGCCAGCAGACTGAGCGAGCATTTCACCCTAAAATACCTTGGAAGGATAAACCGGTACCTGGGGGTACAAGTCAACCAAACACCAAAAGGTTTCCAACTGTCACAGAAAGAGAAAATAGAAGAGTTACTCCATAAGTGCAACATGGCAGACACCAAGGGGTGCGATTCACCCATGCAGATGGACTTCCTAAAAAACATGCATGATGAATCACCCGAATTTGGAGACAACACGCTGTACAGGTCAGTCATAGGCTCCCTCCTGTATATCGCTAACTGGACAAGACCGGACATTGCTCTATCTGTTAATTTACTGTCCAGGCACGTGAGCAAACCCACCACATACCACTGGGATGTGGTGAAAAGGGTGCTAAGATACCTGAAACAAAGTGCCAATGCATGCTTAACCCTAGAGCCTGAAAAATCCGACGAACCCATCCTCTCCTGCTACGCTGATGCTGACTGGGCCAGAGATGCCAAAAGCCAGAAAAGCACGTCTGGGTACATATTCTACTTAACAGTCCGGTGCATTGGTACACAGGTAAACAAATCTTGGTGGCAACCTCGACCACTGAAGCTGAGTACATATGCCTCTCCAAAGCCGCCAACAATCTCATCTGGTTCGACGACCTACTCGCCAGCGTGTGGAGAGAACCAGCTTACCCAATAAATATCTACGAGGATAACAAGGCCTCCATAGAAATATCCATGTCCGACGCTGTAGGGCAAAGGTCAAGGCACATAGACATAAAGTATAAACACGTGAGACAGCTCTCCAGAATCGGTTTCATAAAGGCCATACACTGCGATACAGAAGAGCAGACCGCAGACATACTCACAAAACCTCTACAAGGCAAACAACACTCACACTTAGTTTCCAAGCTCAACATTCGCCTCAAGGCACCACACAGTCAGTCAGGATTACAGACACAGGTCAGGCATTTAGAGGGGATTTGTCAGGTATAAATGCCCTACCCTGCCAAGGTTCAGCTATAGCTCAGTAGTGCAGGGGTTAACCCAGACATCCAACTGGTCAGCTCCTCCCATAGACCCCTCCTTACCTGAATCCCCGCCCACAGGTATAAAAGGTGGGCACACTCCTCCATGTTCTCCAGATCCTGATGTAACTAGTGATGATGTGCAGAACCTGTAAATAAAAGAGATATATTTAATCTGATGACTCAAGTCTCTTCATTGGGCCTGATCCATCAATCCTCGTAACAGATATACAGACACACACAGACACAAACACACACACACACACACACACACACAAACATATAATTTCATATAAGGCTTATGAAGGCTTTTGACTTGGTTAGCAGGGATAGCCTTTATAAAATTCTCTCCAAGATTGAATGTCCACCTCAGCTCTTCAACATCATCAGATCCTTTCATGAGGAAATGAAGGGCACTGTAGTTTTTGATGGCTTAACATCAGATTCCTTTGATATTCGAAGTGGAGTGAAGCAGGGCTGTGTCCTTGCACCAACTTTATTCAGGATCTTTTTTGCTGTCATGCTGAAAACATGCTTTTGAAACTGCAACAGAGGGTATTTACCTCCAGATCAGATCAAACGGAAAACTCTTTAATCTCTCTAGATTGAGAGCAAAATCTAAAGTCCAGCTGAAATGTTTACGGGATTTCCTCTTCGTTGACGATGCTGCCATCACTGCTCACTCTGCTGAAGACCTTCAACAACTGTTACAGTGCAGCAGCAACTACAGCTCAGAGACTACAGCAGATGCTAGCTTGCAGGCATATGCTGGCTTGCATGCTCAGCTCAGCAAAGGCAAGCTCTCTTTCTCTCTGGCTCTCTGGCTCTGAGCTTCAGCTCTAGCTCAGGCATCAGGCAGTGACTTTGTTCCAGCTCTGTCTCTTTACTCAACTCTCTGAGTCCAGGTTTCTTCGGGCGTCTTGGCTCTCGGCTGTCTTGGCTTGGCTTGCTGAATAGTTTTGGCAGGCAACAAGCTCCTACTTATATAGTGAGTCAGTGAGCAATTAACTAGGGCGGGGGAGTCTTGTAGTTAATTGCAAGACGGAGATTGGCCTGTTTGAATCTTTGCAGTTTGTAACTAATCTTATAATCACAGCAATATTGGCAATACTATTGACAAATTTATGGACAGTCTTAGCAAGGCCTGCCAAGACTTTGGACTAACAATCAGCCTGAAAAAAACACAAGTCATGGTTCAGGACATGGATTCACCTCCCTGTAATACAGTCTCTGCACAAGAACTGAAGGTTGTCCATGACTTTGTGTACCTCAGCTCAACTATCTCTGACACCCTCTCTTTAGATACTGAGCTGAATAAACGTATTGGTAAAGTGGCCACCACATTTTCCAGACTTACAAAGAGAGTATGGCTTAATAAGAAGCTGACAGAACATACAAAGATCCAGGTCTATAGAGCCTGCATCCTGAGCATACACTTGTACTGCAGTGAATCTTGGACCCTTTACGCACGGCAGGAGAGAAAGTTGAACACCTTTCATATGCATTGTTCTCCAACGAATTCTTGCATCACCTGGCAGAATAAAGTTCCAAATAGCGAGTCTTGGAATGTGCTGGAATTTCTAGCATGTATACACTATTGAAACAGCAAAGCTGGCTCAGGCATGTCGTGAGAATGGCTGATGATCAGATTCCGAAAGATCTCCTGTATGGAGAATTAATGCAGGGAAAGCGCCTCAGAGAGAGACCACAGCTGCGATATAAGGATATCTGCAAGAGGGACCTAAAGGCCCTGGGAATGGACATTAACAACTGGGAAACCTTGACCTCCGATCGTTCAACTTGGAGGCTAAAGATGTAGCATGGCCTTCTCCAATTCGAATAGACACTTGTTCAGCAGGCTGAGGCAAAGAGGCAGTCCCAGAACCAGCGAAATCTAGGATCTGGGCAGGGGACAGAATGTATCTGTCCTCAATGTGGAAGGGATTGCCACTCTAAAATTGGCCTTTTTAGTCACACTAGATGCTGTTTTAGGACCTCTTTCCAAAGCACGATACCATAGTCTCTTGAGACTGAAGGATGCCAATGATATATAATTTCATATTTCTATATGTCAACTCTTGCAGCTTTGGGCAATATATGAACACATCTGATGATGTTAATCAAAATTTTCATCATTCACATTAAACTGGACAGGACACATCCATTCTTTGATCTTGAAACACATCTTCTTTTAAAATTTTATACTTCTTTTCCCTAAATTTTATGCATAAATTAAGTTAAATCAAGGTCGGGGAGATTTCTCTAAATTCCATCAGGGTGAATTAATGTACAAAGAACATTGTACAAAGAAAAATATTTCATTAAATACAAATACAGAAAGATAATTACTTTTCTTTCCTTATTAAATGTTCTTTCTTGTTCATCTCAGGTCTCAGTAAAATGATGTAGCATTTGGGGAAAAATATACAGCCCAATAAACCAGAACTGGAGGATAAGATAGAAAAGATCTCCACAGCTACCATGTATTTCCCTTTGGTACTCAGGTAGGTTGGAACAAAAGTCAGCCAAACGCTGCAAAATACCAACATGCTGAAAGTGATAAACTTGGCCTCATTGAAACTGCTGGGAAGCTTTCTGGCTTGAAAAGCAATGTTAAAGCTGACAATAGCCAGGAAGCCCATGTAACCCAGGACACAGTAAAACATGATCACTGAGCCTTCATTACATTCCATTATGATTTCTCCCTTCAGTGAGTGCAGGTCTGTATCTGGGAAAGGGGGAGAGGTACTCAACCAAACTGTGCAAATTCCCACCTGGATGAAGGAACCCAAAAGGACAATAGAATTGGCCAGTCCTTTCCCTACCCATTTCCTCATTCCAGAGCCTGGTTTAGTTGCCATAAATGCCAGAATCACAATCATGGTTTTTGCCAATATAGATGAAAGGGCCACTGAGAAGATAATGCCAAAAGTTGTTTGTCGGAGAAAACAGGTCATTTTTTCAGGTCTTCCCATGAAGAGGAAGGAGCAGAGGAAGCAGAATAAAAGGGAGAAAAGGAGGGTACAAGTGAGGCTCCAGTTGTTGGCTTTGACAATTGGAGTCTCTCGATGCCTCCAAAATAGTCCAACCACAAGGAGTGACATTAAAGAGAAAACAATAGCCAAAGTAACAAACAGGATTCCCAAAGATTCGTTATAAGAGAGATAGGTAAACATTTTGGGAATACATTGATTTTGGATATTGTTGGGATATTCATTTACTGGACATTTCATGCAGGTATCCATATCTGGAAAAAGAAAAAAGAAGATACTTTTTCAAATATAACAAACTTTCTATCAGTATAAAATATGTACAGAACAATTGATGTTGATAATTTAATGCCAAAACATACATCAGTCTCATAACATAAATTTAAACCTGGGATCCTTTGTTATGCACAGACAATGTTGTTCGAAAAACAAAAGCAGATAAAAGGGGTTTCTGTCCGCTATCTGCATTTGTACAATGAGGGATTTACAAATAGGTCCTTAAGTGCCATTCCTGTTTGGATGAGCAATATTTGCAATTTCAGAGACAAATAGGTTTGTAGAAATAAATATTATAAATACTTGATAATAAGAGATCAATTTTATGTGGTATTTTAAGGAACAGATAGAATAAGAAATTGGAGAAGCCAATTTTGTCTAAACTATGGAAATCAATCAGAACAACCAAATTAAATGATTTAATGGATCATAAATTATTTTATTAGATTATACTGTATTTTTACTGGAAAAGACTCTTACTGTTATTGCAGATGTGAAGAGAGTAATGCTTCATGAAGTTATATTTTTCTGACATCATATACATTAATTTGTCATTTGTATTTATTTGATCATGGTCAAATGATCAATTTAGTATTTTCAAATATTTACAAATTTTTGAACTACATCTCCAATAAATAGAAAGTAATAGCTGAATTGAATATCCCAATAAACATCAATGTTTTCCCAAAGTGTTCCCCTGTCTTATAATGAATGTTATAATGAACCTTTGGGATTTTTCTTTATTACATTGTCTATTGTTTTTTCTTTGCTTACAGCCCTTGTGCTTGGACTATTTTGGAGGCATCAAGAAACACTAGTTGTAAAAGCCAATGGAAATCATTTATACAATGGAAATGTATACATATATATTCTTTTTGCTTAGAGACTTATTTAACCTTCAACAGTGGAAGGATAAATATATGACCCAGATTACTCAATCCATTTAAAACTGATGTTGCCTTGGCCTATCAATAAATTCATTTAAGCATTTCTGGCTTAAATGACAATATATCTTCATAAAAAACCTTTAGTTAAAAATTTTAATTACATATAGATCAGGTGAACTGGTAGTGGCAGTGGTGGGAGGGTCCGCCCACCCATCGTGCACACACACAAGCGAACCGGTTGTGACGGTATTTGGAACCCTCCCGATACATACATACATATATACATACATACATACATACATACATACATACATACATACATACATAAATGCGCCAGCCTGGATTTTTGCTGTTCAGCTATAACAATGATGGAATTAACAGAAGCAATTAAGAAGCAAAAGAATGGAAAGACACTAGAGCCAGATGGTTTATCTGTTAAATACTATAGGACCATGATGGCGAACCTATGGCACACGTGCCACAGGTGGCACACAGAGCTATATCTGTGGGCATGTGAACCTAACTCAGCTCCCCAGCTGATTTTCGGCTGGCCCTGCCCACGTCATCCCTCCCCTCCCAGGCATCTCCACTTAGCCCATTTTGGATGCCAAGTAGGTACAGGGCTTGCACGGAGGCTCTGGGAGGGCATTTTTGGCCTCCAGAGGGCCTCCAGCGTGGTGGGGGAGGCCATTTTTTCCCTCCCTAGGCTCCAAGAAAGCTTCTGGAGCCTGGGGGGGCAAAAACTTGCCCTGCTGGGCCCACTGGAAGTCAGGAAATGGGTCATTTCCAGCATCCAGAGGGCCTCTAAGGGGCAGAAGAGGCTGTTTTCACCCTCCCCAGGCTCCAAGAAAGCCTCTGGAGCCTGGGGAGGGTGAAAAATGGGCCTACCAGAAGTCTGGAAATGGGCCGTTTCCAGCCTCAGGAGGCTTCAGGGAAGCCTGCTAGGCCCAAAACGGGGCGTGGGGGGGTCGCACATGCATGCGCAGGGGGGTGGGGCATGGGGGGCATTGAATTCTGGGTGTGGGTATGCACGTATGTGACCCCTTTGGGCTCCCCCCACTTTTGGCACATGATGGCAAAAAGGTTAGCCATCACTGCTATAGGACATTACAAGAATCTTTAAGTCTCCCATTATTGGATGTTATGAATGAAGTGATGACAAAGAAGAAAATATCCAAATCATGAACTGAGGCGTATATTACATTGATTCATAAAGAAGATACAGACCCACAACAAATCAAAAACTATAGGCCTATATCCCTGCTATATTCAGACTATAAAATTTTCACTTGGCAGAAAGGCTTAAGAGATATTTGAATAATTTCATACATACAGATCAAAATGGATTCCTCCCAAAAAGACAAATTAGAGACAATATAAGAATAATTCTGGACACTTTAGAATATTATGAAGCACATCCTGAAAAGCAGATGGCCTTGATATTCTTAGATGCACAAAAAGCTTTTGACAATGTAAATTGGTGATTCATGATGCTCCAAATGGAAGAGATGGGTTTTGGCAAGAAATTTATTCAGGCAATTGAAGTTATATACTTGTGATGGCGAACCTATGGCATGCGAGCCATATTAGTGGGCATGCCAGCTCAGTTCTGGGGCACATGCGCGCGCCAGCCAGCTGATTTTTGGGCCTTCTGGGCCCACTAGAAGTAGGGAAACAGGCTGTTTCCTGCCTCTGGAGGGCCTGGGGGGTGGGGAAGGCCCGTTTTTCTTTCTTACCTGGCTCCAGATCCTCTCTATGCATCTGGGAAGGGCAGAAACAGCCTTTCCCACTCCCTTGGAGGCCCTATGGAGGCTGAAAGGGCCCATTTCCCAACTCCCGGTGGGACAGGAAATGATGTTTTTTCCTGTCCCCAGCTTCCAGAGACTCCTAGAGAGGCTTCTAGAGACTCCTGTAGAGGTTCTGGAGGCTGGGAACAGCAAAAAATGTCACTTCCTGTCCCACCAAGAGTTGGGAAATGAGCCCTTTCAGCCTCCGTAGGGCTTCCAAGGGAGTGGGAAAGGCTGTTTTCGCCCTTCCCAGATGCATAGAGAGGATCTGGAGCCAGGTAAGAAAGAAAAACAGGCCTACCAGGCCATTATGTGCCAGGAGCGGAGGTGGGGGTCGGGTGGGGTTGCATGTGCATGAGCACGGGCATGTGCGCATGCGATCCTCCCCCGCCCCCCCTCTCCTGGCACGTGATGGCAAAAAGGTTAGCCATCACTGCTATATACAGTACCTCAAGCAGACCATAAAAGGTACTTTAGAAGGCACCAGATACGAGAAGCCTTATTGTTGAACTGGGAGAAGGTTAAAAAATATTATTATTTGAAGATTCCAGTCTGGGTATCTACAATTGAAGCCTTTTCATATTCAGTAGTATTTAAAAGGGAACAAATTGTTAGATATAGTGACTTATTGGATGAAAAGGGTGAACTTAAATTAAAGCAAGAATTAGAAGATCAGGGATATAAGATGGATTGGTTTTTATACACGCAACTACGTTCTAGATATGAAGAAGATCTCAAACAAGAAGGTTTTTATAATGTTTGGCTAATTAGATAAGATTTTAATGGGTTCTGATAATCATGTAATTAAAAAATTATATGGATACTTGTTAGAGATAAAATTGGAGAAGAACAGGTTAAAGAATCAATGATAGCTTGGGGAAAAAAATTTGGTCATCGTATTGATTTAGAGAAATGGCAAAAATTGTGGTCGCATAACTATAAAATGACAATGTCTACAGCATATAAGGAGAATTTGTATAAGATGTTTTACAGGTGGCATCTACCCCCGATGAGGATAGCCAGAATGTTCAAGAATAAGTCGGAGAAATGCTGGAAGTGTCATCAGACTCCAGGATCATACTACCATATGTGGTGGACATGCATAGAAGCTAAGAAATATTGGACTAAGATACACACGTAGTTGGAAAAAATGATAAAGAGACATATTGACTTTAAACCAGAGATATTTTTATTAGAGATCTTACCAGAAACATATAATAGAGAATTGCAATATTTAATTGTAAATGTTTTAACAGCGGCTAGAATTGTATTTGCCAAGAACTGGAAAGGAGAGAAGATACCTACTGATGAAGAAATTATTAAGAAAATGATGGACTGTGCTGAAATGAGTAAACTGACATTTGAAATAAGAGAACAGGAAGATAAACAATATTATTTGATATGGGGTTTGTTTTATCAATGGATAGATAATAAAACATGGAGATGAAATATGAAGTGGAAGTGGAAGTGAAATATTAAGATAAAATATGTGAATTTTTTTTTCTATGGAAAATAAGCCTTGGTCATATATTGATATTTTGAAGATGGGATTGAGCACAAAAGGATGTTAACCTATCGATACACTGTCTGTAATTGTTTGGAATGACGATAGTTTCATGTTTTGTTTTTGTTTTAAAATAAAAAAATTGGTTTTTTTTTAAAAAAAGAGACACTAGTTGTAAAAGCCAATGGAAATCATTTATACAATGGAAATCATTTATACAATGGAAATACATATATTTTCTTTTTGCTTAGAGACATATTTAATCTTCAACAATGGAAGGATAAGAATATGACCCAGATTACTCAATTCATTTAAAACTGATGTTGCCTTGGCCTATGAATAAACTCATTTAGAATTCATTTAAGCATTTCTGGTTTAAATGACAATATGTCTTCATAAAAAAACTTTAGTTTAAAATTTTAATTTCATATAATCCATGAGAAGAAGATATATGAGAGAGCAAAATAAAGGAAGATAGAGTGAGGGAAGATAGTATATTATTGGGGGAAGGTCTTTTTCTTGTTTTGTTCCAAATACATTCATACATACATACATACCAATGGTGGGTTGCAACCGGTTCGCACCGGATCAGGCAAACCAGTAACAACTGCGGCAGGATGCTTCTGTCCATGTGTGGAAGTGCTGCACATGCATGCTTGCACAAGTGAACCATAGCAACAGGATCTGGAAAACACTTCACATACATACATACATACATACATACATACATACATACATACATGCACCAGACTGGATTTTTGCTATTCAGCTAGCCAAAGTCCTCATATCTTTTTGTCCTACCTATTTCATCAGAAATCTGTCCTTCTGAACAGGGCACACAATCATAGCAACAAAATTTCTCTCCTTCCTTCTTCTTTCTGCAGGAGCCTGGATAGCAGTGGTCATTGCACACAGAAAGAGGAAGCACCTAGACAATAATAGGTATGAGAGAGTCAGAGATTAAAATACCTCCATTAATACAAATTTCACAAACAAGAACCCCTATCCAGGCTAAAGAAGCAGAAGAAAATGAAAATGAGGAAACTTGAGTTAATAAGAAGGAACTGGCCTTGATTTCTTTGGATGTTCTAGTAGAAGACTTGGAAGGGCAGAAAATTATGATAAATAGGATCTGACATGTGTTTGGATTACTCCTAATGGATTCATTAGTTAATACTTTTTTCTGAAGATGAGCAAATGCAATGTAGGGTCTTTGCAGCCAGAATGTTTAAAACCAGAAAATGGCAGTACAGATAGTCCCAGACATACAATCACAATGGAGTGCTGGATTTCAGTCATAAGATGTTGCACTTGCAAGTCAGGATACAAAGTGAAAAATTCAATTTTTCAGCCATATTTATAATGGTAGCAAAGTGAATCTTCTTCTTGTTGTGCCATATCCATTATAGGATGTTGGTGATCATGTTGGCCATCCTATTTTTATCAACAGTACATGAAAAAGTGCTGCTTTGTCCAAATCAGTTCCTTAGATTTTGAAGTCATGATGTTCTTCTTCTGCCTGGACCTCATTTGCCTTCAATTTTTCCCTGGAGGATTAAGTGAAGTATGCCATATTTTTCCAGGTGTTGCATCACATGTCCAATATATTCTAACTTTCACCTTTTTATGGTTTTCATGATTTCCCTTGACTTTCCCAGGCGGCTTATCACCTCCACATTTTTTATTTTGTCTGTTCAGCTTATTTATTTATTTATTTATTTATTTATTTATTTATTTATTTATTTATTTATTGATTGCGATTTATATGCTGCCTTTCTCCCTAGGGACTCAAGGAGGCTTACAAAATGACAACTTCAATACAAATCACAATACAATACAAAATTAAAATCAATAACCCAGTTAAAAAATGATTTAAAATTATACCAGTGTACCCCCAAACGGATCAGTTTAATTGGCGGAAGAGCCACGTCTTCATAACAGCCATAACAGCCGCCTGTAAATCCACATTTCAAATACTTCTAGTCTCTTTAAGTAGCTTTCTGTCAGAGACCAACTCACTACTCCATAGAGCAGGATAGAAAAGATGTAACATCTGACAAGCCTGATTTTCAGTCTTAGAGTTATGTCATGACTGCAGAAGACCTTTTTCATTTTGAAGAATGCTGTTCGAGCTTTCTCTATCCTTATCTTTACTTCAGAGGTCATGTCCCAGGTTTCATGCAAATTAGAACTGAGGTATGTGATCCTTTCAACTTTTTCTACTGAATCACATAGTTGTTTAGAATATAGAATTCTTTATTGGCCAAGTGTGATTGGACACACAAGTAATTTGTCTTTGGTGCATATGCTCTCAGTGTACATAAAAGACAAGATGCACTCGTCAAGACTCATAAGGTACAACACTTAATGATAGTCATAGGGTACAAATAAGCAATCAAATCACATTAGGAAACAATATAAATCATAAGGATACAGCAACATGGTTACAGTCATACAGTCATAAGTGGGAGGAGATGGGTGATAAGAACAATAAGATGACTAATAATAATAGTAATGCTGGAAGACAATGGGAAGAAATTTTTACTGCAGCTCTTCAATCGAAAATATGAAACAGGAAAGATACCAAATGATTAGCTAAAGTCGACTTTTGTGACAATCCCCCAAAAATAAATGCAAAGTGTACTGAATACAGAACAATAAGCTTAATGAGTCATGCCCTGAAAATATTCCTGAGAATAGTTGACACAAGACTATACAACAAAATTGAGGAGTGTCTAAGTAACACACAATTTGGTTTCAGAAACAATCTTGGTACACAAGATGCCCTATTCAGTATTCAAGTTCTTATACAGCACTGTAGAGATGTCAATCACAGTGTTTACATGTGCTTCATCAATTTTGAAAAAAACATTTGACAAAATAAGACACAGCAAACTATTACAAATCCTGAAACAAGTGGAACTAGATGACAAAGACATCTGAATCATAAAGAATCTATATTGGCATCAGGTAGCAAATGTGAGACTAGGTCAAAAATATTCAGATGATGCAGAAATATGAAGAGGGGTCAGATAAGGCTGTATTCTGTCTCTGCTGTTATTTAATATCTACTCTGAGTCAATTTTCAACAAAGCACTGGAAAACATTGATGCTGGCCTCAAAGTAAATGATGTTCAGATCAACAATTTAAGATATGCTGCTGATATAGTTCTGCTTGCCAGTAAGCATGAAGACCTTCAACTCCTCATCAACAGAATCTCAGAAATATCTGAAAAATATAGCTTGAAGCTTAACACCTCAAAAACCAAGGTCATGGTCGTCAGCAAACAACCCATTAATTTACCACTGATAAATTCGGTAGGAATACCATTAGAAAAAGTTGAAAGGATCACGTACCTCAGTTTTAATTTACATGAAAGCTGGGATCAATGAAATGAAGACAAGGATAGCAAAAGCTCGAACAGCATTCTTCAAAATGAAAAAGGTATTCTGCAGTCACGACATAAGCCTAAGACTGAAAATCAGGCTTGTCAGGTGTTATCCTGCTCTATGGAGTAGAGAGTTGGTCTCTGACAGAAAACCACTTGAAGAAACTAGAAGCATTTGAAATGTGGATTTACAGATGACTGTTACGTATAAACTGGGTTAACAAAATCACAAATGAGGAGGTGATAAGCCACCTGGGTAAGCAAGGGGAAATAATCAAAGCCATTAAAAAGCAAAAGTTAGAATATTTTGGACATGTGATGCGACACCCAGAAAAATACGGCATCCTTCACGTAATCCTCCAAGGAAAGATTGAAGGCAAACAAGGTCCAGGCAAAAGAAGAACATCATGGCTTCAAAACCTTAGGGCCTGGTTTGGACAAAACTCAGCAGCACTTTATCATACAACTGTTGACAAAAATAGGATTGGTGGGCATAGCAGGGGAAGGATACGGCAAAATCCCCATTCCCTGTCCCTCCTGGGGAAAGGATATTGCAAAATCTCCATTCCCACTCCACTCTGGGGCCAGCCAGGCTCTCCAAACTACTCAAAATTTTCACTAGCCGGTTCTCTGAACTGGTCAAAATTTCCGCTACCGGTTTTCCAGAACCTGTCAGAACCTGCTGGATTTCACCCCTGGTACAACACTTAATGATAGTCATAGGGAAGAAATAAGCAATCAAATCATATTAGGAAACGGTCAATATAAATCTTAAGGATACCAGCAAAGTTACAGTCATACAGTCATAAGTGGGAGGAGATGGGTGATAGAAACAATGAGATGACTAATAGTAATAGTAATGCAAACTTAGAGAATAGTTTGACAGTGTTGTGGGAATTACTTGTTTAGCAGAGTGATGGCGTTCGGGAAAAAAACTGTTCTTGTGCCTAGTTTTGCTCTATAGCATAGTTTTGAGGGTAGGAGTTGAAACAATTTACGTCCAGGATGCAAAGGGTCTGTAAATATTTTCACAGCCCTCTTTTTGACTTGTGCAGTTATGTAACCATGGAACACTGCAACTGTTCACAAATCCGAGCAAGTTGCCGTGTGCCTGAAATGTAATTACATGACAACAAGCAAGGAGTAATCTTTGCTTCAATGGCAGGTCATAAAGGACTTTTTCCCCCAGAGGTTGTTAAATGAACAGTTGTATTTCTAGGACTATCTGCAGTTGCATTTGGCAATTTTTGTTCCAAATGCAATCAGAACCATTTGCCATAAACCTCCCATGGACATATTAGTACTCAAATTTGTATATAGAAAATGTTATACATCATTTTAAAAGATTCCAAAAGACAGAAACATCATTTTCTTTAATTACTGCCATGTATTTGACAATTGTTTTATTTTTGTTATTAGTTGAGAATTCTCACCTGATTAAAGCTTCTGTGCCATAGAATTTGATTGTCATTAAGAGCTAAACCTTTGCCTGGTGGAGCCTGAGGTTCCAATGTTCCAACTTTGACTCGAGAAAAGGAATTATTGGGGAAAGTAATCCAGTTTGCAACATCAAAACCCATAATCAGTTCTCTGTTTTCATCAAACGTAATAGTGTCTCCCATATTGTTATTGAATACGATGCTTTGCAAGTAAGAATGAAACTGTATTTTTTACAGAAAGAAATTAACAGTAAGACTTTGAAATCGTAACAACTACATAAAATTATTTTAAGCTGAACTCTCCTGCTTTGTAAAACACAAACAAGGATTGAGGTTGTCTTCAAGTCAATATTGACTGCTGTCTGGGCAAGACTTGGCAAAATGTACAGAATTGGTTTGCCATTGCATCTTTTCTAGGACTGAGAGAGAGCGGCTGGCCTAAGATCACCAGCTGGCTACATGAGTAGAACGAAGAAGAATTTACATGTGCCAGGCTAATGTTGCAGGATCCAATCTAGGTCAACCATCATGACCAAAGGTTTTGTCTTCCGAGCTTTCAGACTCATGTTAGAGCTCATCTTCAGAGAACTTCTCTCTAGCGGACTCTGGCTCCATCGCAAGTCTGATAGCTCAGAAGACAAAACCTTTGGTCATGATGGCTGACCCAGATTGGATCATGTAGAAGTTACATCTCCCAGTTTCTAGTCCGGTGATTTAACTACTAGATCAAAATGGTTGTCATCATACATCTTCCATATTTTACAAAATGGAACATGTATGAAGACAATCAGTGTCTCTCTTTCAGATTAACTGTTAACTGTTAATTCCTTTTAACCACTGTTATGTTAGCCTCAATTTTTTCAAAGTATTAAACATAGTTGTTATCTTCAAGGCAGAGATTTATGCTATACAAATTATAATAGGTGTTACGGTAAATAGAATTTCCAAGAACTCACAATGATTGGCCTAATCAAACAACATGCAGTTTTTTGGGTTGCATAGAATATGAATCCATTCCAGAAAGGACACTTACAATAGTGTATCTCAAATTCCATGATACATGGCTAGTATCATTGCCACAGATGTATCATCTACATCAGGGGTCCCCAACCTTTAGACCATGGCCCAGAATTCATTGGTATAAGAGTGTTATGTAACATCATTACCAGTAGCATTACTACACAATGCAGTTAAACAAACAATCTTTATGTGTTAGAAACAAAATAAGATACCTGCCATGGTTTTAAATTCTGAAATATTACTTGTTCTGTTCCTATTGCATTTCTACGTCTGGATCTGGACTTGAGTAATGCATGCAAAGAATGTACCATAACAAACACTGCATTATAAATGTTGTAACTGTGACCACTCATTCTCATTTCAAATAATATACTTGGCAGATTCTCTAAGTTCTCATCCCCAGTGCACAATACCTTGTTATCTTCATTTAAACTAGAAGAGTGTAATGGGCAGTCAAATGCCTGCTCCCAAAAATTCTGAATGAAATTGTCTTCTTTTGCCCAATATGGCCTTACACTGTGAAGAAATTCTTGGAATCCAGGGGGCTCTTTTGAGCGAACTGCAAATGACAGAGCACCATGGAAACTCTGTATATCCCAAACTCTCTGAATGGACAGTGATTCAAAATTCCAATGGGATGTTATAATCCACACTTTACCCAAAGATGGCAATGAAGTCCAAGATGTTACAAAGATGATAATTCTCAGATTTTCCATGGCTGGAGTTAGGGCATAGATTAAACACACTTTGACTTTATCATCCATAAAGAGTTGATCATATCTTAACTCCGTTGCAATCAAGTGTATATATTCATCTACATATGCTTTCTGTGGTGGTCTAAATATGAAAGCATAACAAATGTTGTTTTGGGAAAGCAATGGTTCAATTTCCTGCAAAAACATGTCCCCATAGTAATCATCCATAGCCAAGATCCCAATCCAATTCCATCCAAAATGCTGAAGTAATTGAATAACCCCAGAGTATTGATGCATTTCACTTGGGACCATCTGGTACAAAGATGGGAATAGATTTTTCTCACCATGTACTGAAGAAAATGTTCCATAGGCAAGCTGAAAGCCAATATGTAGCAAATAATTAGGGCCATTACATATGAAAATGAAATGTGATTCATTTTCAGCATAGCTAAGACAGAAAGTAAGCATTCAAATGTTGGTGGAAATTATGCAGTCAATTCATATACATGCAGTATTATATCAGTTAAAAGATTGTCTATCTGTTTCTGAGCACATATTAACTGAATGTGAAAACACTAAAACAGCACACTATCAAAAGCCAGGCATTTATGATGTACAAAAGTCTTCTAGTTTGACTGCCTGAATTTGTATGTTCTGTAGTGGCCCAACCACTTTGAAATTCATGCCAACAGGAGTTTGCTAATCTTCAATATTAGGGTGAAACTACAAAAAAATTCTAAATATTTAATCATTCCTATAATTTATTCATACTTATATTAACTCTATGTACAATAGAGTGTTCTCCTAGATTTGCCCTGTGAAGGTCAACTCTGGAATGCGGCATAAATGTTCTATAAGAATTGAAGGAATTAAAGAAATTGGGATTTCTAGGGCACCATCTCAAGGATATACCTGTGGAATCTTGTAGTTGGCAAGAACTGTGGCCATGATGAATGAGCTCTCCGCCAAACGTCCTCCAATAGCAGCAATAAATGTTTTCTTTAAATCACAGGTAAAGTTGGGAACAAACTTCTGCTGTGTAGAAAGTAAGCTCAAGGTTGCCTTATAGGTTATCCTCACAGGAAAATAATTGTTCACAATGTGGAAACCCAATGTGATGTTCGGTAAGAGCTCAGGGTTCCTATTGATCTCCTTGATAGTAAACACCAAAGCAAGGATGTGCTGATACATCTTTGGCACAGAACTGCAACAAAATTCAATTGAAAGTGTCTCCGATCCTTCCATTGTACTTGTGTACTCAAAGCTATAAAACTGAATGCAATGAAGTTCAAAGTCATCCATAGAACCAGCCCTACAATTAACTGAAAAGCAGTCACTTCAAGCTATAGTTACCTAAACTCAGCAGTAATAGGTGGAAGAGATGCTGAAACCCTTAAATAACTAAACTCTTCAAAAGAGTTCCTATGCTTTGTCTCATTGCCAGTGTTCAAGGAAAAACTCAATGTCACGTCAGATGTGTGTCTGAAGGGACTAGGAGGTTCCTTTGGGTGACAAAGTTATTTGTACCTCTTCAAATAAAAGGAAAGACTTTTTTAATTTAATCTCCTGAGATAATTTGTCTTTTGAAAGAAATAGCTTTGCATCTTTTTCTAAACGTTATCTTTCTTATCTAATATGTAGCCTTATTACTGGTTCTCCCTTACCATCAGGTATAGTACAACCAATGCCATGTGTTTTGCACATAATACAGTACAGGAACACTTAGAGCATCACTGCTATCATCCCATCCTGTTGTTGGTAGTACCAGCCAAACATAGAAAAACGTAAAGAAGTAGTTGAAGAACAGTAGTTGTGGGATATTGGCCCATAGAATCACAAGAGAGAATGGAATGGAATGGAATGGAATGGAATGGAACGGAACGGAACGGAACGGAACAGAACAGAACAGAACAGAAGGAATGAACCTTGGAGATCTTCTAGTCAAACCCCCAGTTCAGGGAGGGAACTATATACCATTTCAGACAAATGATTGTCCAATCTCTTATTAAAAACTTCCAGTGTTGGAGAATTCACAACTCCTGGAGGCAAGTTGTTCCACTGGTTAATTATTCTAACTGTCAGGAAATTTCTTCTTGGTTCTAGGTTGCTTCTCTCCTTGATGAGTTTCCATCCATTGCTTCTTGTCCTGCCCACAGGTGCTTTGGAAAATAACCTGACTTCCTCTTCTTTGTGGCAACCCCTGAACACTCCTATCATGTTTCCCCTAGTCCTTCTTTTCATTAAACTAGACATACCCAATTCCAGCAACCATTGTTTATATGTTTTAGCCCCCAGTCCCCTAATCATCTTTGTTACTCTTCTCTACACTCTTTTCAGAATCTCAACATCTTTTTTGCTTTGTGGTGACAAAAACTGGATATAGTATTCCAAGTATCACCTTACCAAGACATTATAAAGTGGTATTAACATTTCACATGTTCTTGATTCTATCCCTCTGTTAATGCAGCATAGAATTGAGTTGGCTTTTTTGGCAGCTGCAGCACACTGCTGGCTTATACTTAAGTGATTGTCCACTAGGACTCCAAGATCTCTCTCACAGTTACTACTATTGAGCAAGGTACCACATAAACGGTCCCTGTGCATTTTGTTTTTCTTCCCTAAATGTAGAACCTTACTTTTTTCACCATTGAATTTCATTTTGTTAGATAACATCCAATGTTCAAGTCTGTCAAGATCCTTCTGAATCTTAAGCCTATCTTCTGGAGTGTTGGCTATTCCTGACAGCTTGCTGTTGTCTACAAATTTAATGAGTTTCCCATCTATCCCCTCATGCAAATCATTAATGAATATGTTGAACAGTATTGGGCCTAAAACAGAGCCTTGGGATACCCCACTGCATACTTCCCTCCATGTGGATGCAGTTCCATTGAGGACTGCTCATTGAGTATGATTGGTCAGCCACTTAAGAATCCATCTTAAGTGATGTTGTCTAACCCACATTTTTTTACTTTCTCTAGTAGTAGGTTATGGTCTACTTTGTCAAATGCCTTTCTGAAATCCAAGTAAATTATATCCACAGATTTCCTCTCGTTCACGAATGTTGTCACCTTGTCAAAGAATGCAATAAGATTTTACTGGCATGCTCTGTTTTTGACAAACCCATGTTGGCTTTTGGTTGTGACTTTGTTTGCCTCTACATGTTCACTGATTAGTTACTTGATAATCTTTTCCAGAATTTTCCCAGGTATTGAGGTCAGGCTGATAGGTCTGTAGTGTCCTGGATCTTTTTTTTTTTTTTTTTAAGCTGGGAACTACATCAGCTCTTTTCCAGTCCTCTGGTAGTTCCCCGGTGCTCCAGGATCCTTGGAAGATCTAGTTCAGTGGTTCTGAGATCATATCTGCCAGTTCCTTCATAACCTTAGGGTGTCCATCTGGTCCACGTGATTTAAACTTGTCTGGGGTAGACAGATGCTCACTTACCATTTTTTTTGTCTATTTTTACTTTGTTTCTAATCTGTTTTTTACAGTACTGTTTTTGATAGGTTGGACTGTTTTTTTTCCTTTGTGTAAAAATGAATGCAAAAAATTAGTTAAATAGTTCTGCTTTCTCTCTGTTGCTTATTATCTTCTTGCCACTTTGACTGAATGGATAACATCATCTTGTTATCTATTCAAAGGGCTGCCAAAAATAAGAGGGGGTCAACCTATTCTCCAAAGCAGGACAAGAACCAATGGATTGAAACTAATCAAGGAAAGAACAAATCTAGAGCAAAGGAGAAATTTCTTGATCACTAGAACAATTAATCAGTGGAACAACTTACTCCAGACATTGTGGTGCTCCAATGCTGGATGTTTTTAAAAAGAGATTTGACAACTATTTGTCTGAAATGACATAGGGGATTGGACTTAAAAACTTCCAAGGTCCATTTCAAATATGTTCTTCTGTTATCTCATCATAACTGTTGATGACTGCCATCCAAGCAAACATAGATCTTCCTATACATACAATTTTCTATCTCTACAAAATTAAATTCTATTATATCTTTTTTAAAATTTTTATTATTACTATTACTACTACTACTATTACTATTACATATATAGCCTTTAAGAAAGTTACCACAGTACTACAATGTTTTATCCAAACAGATTTCTTTTTTCCCCACTATCTGAATGCAGTCTGTTTGCACGTATGTGTGGTTTTTGTATACTTCCATCTTCTTTCAATACTTTAATGCCCTTTGAACTAATGCCATTGGGGGGAAATGATTTTGTATTTCAGGAACTACTTTGTGATTTTCAAGTGGGACGATTTTCTTCACTGACTTTAAACTAAATAAAATTCTGCATGGGTAGAATTAATAGAGTTCCATGTGTTAATTTCCCCTTCCATAATCTCACCACTTGGGAAAGATAAATTACCTTACCTAAAATGATCTAATCAACAAATGCACCAAGTATGACTTTTTGAATCATACCCCATTAGAGTAATACCAGAATATTATATGAGGGTTAGAATAGAAATACACTATTTACTCTATACACTTTACTTTCCCTTCCACTCCCTCAAGTGGAAATCTCTCCACTTGATAGAGATAAATTTCCTTATCTAAAGTGATCTAATCAGCAAATACAGAGAGTATGACTGTTTGTAACTTACTCCTATAAGAATAATACTAGAATATTATATGAGGGTTAGAATAGAAAGGCTTCAAATGACACTTCTCTATATGCTATTCAAGAAATGATATTTTGAAGATAGGTAGAAGATAGGTAGAAGAACTGCTATTATAAGCCTGACCTTCGGGCAAATTATTATAAACTATTACAAATGTTTTATTAATCATAAACAGAACATAAATAGAATCGTATATAGATTTGGTGCAGCGTGTGAAGGCACATGGAGTTTTCTCCTCAGTAGCCAACTACGTACACTTCAAAAGTAGAGAAAACCAATTAACAGAAAATTCCCAATGACAATTTAAGTGTGAAAATTTTTCAAAGATTTATCACTATAATCCTGCTGCTTAACTCTTTTTTCCCCAAATATTTTGCACTTACTAGTCTGAAGAGGAAATAAAAGTAGAATTCCTTACATCACTTCATTGATTAAGGTCCGAGAGGGATCTTCTGTGAAGGAAGGCCTGTCATGAAAGAAGAAGGCTTGAGGGACAATTGCTCCAAAGATAAAATTTCCTGGCTGAGCAAATTGATGGGCTATAGGAAGAGGATCATCAGGTATGCTACAATTCATAGCATATATTTTGCATGTAATACAGAAAAGGAACACAAAAAGCATCATTGCTATCAACTCTGTCCCACTCTTAACATTTTCCATCCTGAAAAAGATAGATGTCCTTATACAGAAAAATATCCTATTTCTACCCATGGCATTGTTTTTTATTTCATTATCCTTTCATATATGGTCTCTAAGTCGGTTGCCACAGCACTACAAAGAAATAGGAGAGGGAGAAGGAAAAAGAATAGAAAAAAATACAGAAACTATTAAGAATATAATATAGATAAAACAGCTTGGCACCTTAAATGAAGATTTGAATAGAGATTCTTCAAGTTATAGCTTCTATACCCTTTTCAACAAAATATATTTTGAAGATAGGTAAAAGCACTCGCAATAAGCTGATTTTCTGAAAATTCAGTTTCATAAGGAACCTATAATTTGGACCATTGGGGAAATAATCAAGTCTTCTCCAATTCTTTATATTTTGTAATCTCTCTTGAGAAAAAGGTTCAAAGTGTGTATTTAATTATTGTAATTTGCTTTGATTTTTTTACACCATGAAAGTGCTATGAGCCATTTTTAATCAAATTTCCAAACAGATACACAAGGCAAACTTCATATACAATAAATTGGTAACAGTGATTAAAACTGAGAAGTAAATCTAGTATATTGAATTCATTTTCATGCATACATTAATTACCCTAAGTTGCCCATCAAAATCAAAGAATTCTTCCCAGCAATGACACTTGTAGATTCTTCCATCTTAACATATCTGTAATTTCATTCTATGTTTTAATATTGTTATTTTGAAATAACATACAATTCATATTTGTCATAACATCTTGGCATAGATACCTCAAGGTTCTGTCTTAGGCCCAGTATACTTCAACAACTTCATAAATTATCTAGATGAGGCAATAGAAGGGAAACTTACCAAATCTACAGAAAACACCAAAATGGAATAGGTAATATTTTAGACGATAGACTCAAGATT